GGCTGTTGATCTGTTTTCCGAGCTTGGTAATTGATTTGCAAACGTTTCGTCACCTCTCGAGGAGACATCTTCAGTGCGCTGTTGGTTCGTAAGTCTATCTTGATTTTTATCCATTGGATCACTCTCAAGACTAATGCAAAGTTAAATTACTACAGATGGGTTATATATTACAGCGAGTGGTCGGTAAACATCGGATGGTCCCTTAATAATTTGCGAGATAATGAAGTTGTGAAGCGCCTCTTTTCAAAATTATCTGATATTTTCTTGGAATCTTCAAAGCAGGATAGAAGGATGTACTTCAAACTTCTTTTTCAACAGGCTGTTACATGTACTTGTTTACCGTTGATAGGTGTCTTATCTCCAGTCAAAACCGTCATCCGTAAGTCGATCCGCTTTGAGTGAATATGTGGCTGGATCCAGAGAACTCGGCAATAGTAGAGCGGTTTGCCCTTATCGTGAATGAACCATTGGGTATAGTCGAAGCGGACACTTGATCTTTTTGTTAGCTCTTTTAAGCTGTTTTCCACAGGACCGTGTGATCTCTGACTACCTTGCGCAGTTGGGGAATATTACTCGAATCCCCACGTGACAGCCGGTGATGGGTTGGCGAGATCGGCTTAAATAGTCATGATGGGAACGACTGAACGTGGATTTTGATCGTATTTCATAAAAATGACAATTGCCACCCCCCCCCCACAACAGCTAACCACTATTCAACTGATTAATTCGGGATATGTCCTTATTTGACGTGCTGTGAGCATACTCAAGAAGTGTGTCACACGAACTGACAAGATCTCATCAGTGTTTATGGGACTAAAATTCTAACATTGCTGATGAAAGCACAGAAGAGAGATAAAATGGAAAACTTGAAATCAGAAAGTATTCCACTACTGGCCTCCGTTCTCAGCTCAAGTGGCGTTCCTTGGAAAACGCAAGTTCAGGCCTACCCGTACTTCATAACTCATATGGTTGCTTAAAATTCTTCGAACCCCTTCTTGGGGCTCATCAGGTAGGCGCAGTCCCCGAGTTCTCGTCAACCTTATGTTCTACTTGAAACCAAATTGCACAAAGTTAGCGAAATACACTCATTTACAAACAAATTTAGCTTTGCGGAACATCTCAAACGAAAGATTCAGCTGGGTTCCAAATAAGTCTCTCGCAAAACCAAATGAATGTATTTCACCAAACCCAATCCTGTTCTCATGGGTAGATGTCCGTCTGCAAAAGATCTTTTGTTTCACTTCTGGGACGTTTCTAGGAAATAAAAACGTATTGAAAGTAGAATGAGCAAGCCTCTTGACATCACCAAAGTTTTACGAGTAATCCCATGCTGAAAAAAATGCTGTAACTAGCACCCTTTCTACACAGTATCAATGATTTGAATTACACTCATATTTCCTGATCCCGCTGGTCTTTACAGTTGCATATGAGCTTCGCCGATTCCACAACCATGACACTGCCGAGCAAAAAAAACGTTCCAAGTCATTTTAGGGTTATATTCTATCCCGATCAATGGGATACTTTGGGGTACATAGTGATGTGCTACTTGAGTGGAGTGCTCAAATTCTGTCTGAGAAATTAGGAATATACTAGTAAAACCGCAGCTGTTGCTGGATATTTCTGAATCAGTATCGTGACCTCAGTTAGAGCGGACACACGTCTGGTGCTTCTATGGGTCGTTGAATACTGAGAGTATTCATGGATGACCAACAGCGGAGTCAACAAAACTGGAGATGTCCATGTAACCCAGAATACTGGCACCACACTAAGTTGTTGATGGTTAAACTTCCAAATGTGTTACGATATCGAACTGAAGCACAAAGTAAACAGCCAAGCTGACGAGTCGTGATGGGCTTAGGTATGGCGTCGGTTGTTCATAACAGAAACATTTAGTCTAAGGTTTCAGTCAGTGCACAGGAAGAAATCTTTTCAAAACCTTCGAAAGATTGTAACCGTATCAATAGGTAGGTTCAGCACTAACTCGTGAAAGTCAGCAGTCCTATTTGAATACGCCACAAGCAGGCTTAGGGGCGAAAATTGTACGGTTTCCATGTTCGAACTATCAGCATACTTCTAAAAGCGTCTAACACCGAAACATTTCAGGAAATATCAGCTAAAAGATCACCCACTCCTAGCACATGCTAACATATTTACTGGGGTTTATCGACTGTGATGCATACACCAAAAGTATATGCCACAACGATTAGAAAACAGTGTTTATCTGAAGCTATCGCATTGGAGAAAGCCAAGAGAAGTAACACCAAAGCTTCGTAAGACTGCTCCGTTCCTACGACATGACCTGCAATATCTTCTCCAACATATAAACCACTCCAAGAGTGTATATTGGAGCTGAGTGCACAAAAAGAACGGCCCTATGTTCAGTTAACTACCAGGATACTAACATCCATCAGTTGGGAGAAATCCATTTGCTAGATGCGTTTCTTCAGGCTAAGCAAACTGTCCAGATAACGATGGATGCTACTGATGAAACACGCAAGTAGTCTACGGTTGGTGGCCAACCTCCGCACGGTATCTGTTGGAAGATGAAGTACATTGCGACAGCTGCGGGACCGCTTTACAGCGTTCGTTTACTATCGTGTGGTTGTCAGTGTATACCCAGGAAATTTGAAGAGAACGCGTGAAGGTGTTCAGTTCTTAGAGACTATGTGCATATGAGGTGTTTGCTTTCCTGTCTGATGACTTGTAATTACTTAGTTCATGTTCGCCAGTAGATATCCTCCAGCTAGGACCCTTCATCCTTTTATATGATGCCGTGACCAGGATATAGACGAAAAACTCGTGGCCACAACTTTCCGGAGATGTGGACCTTTTTGCAGGATTCCGAGGATGTTGCGGAGGCGGCTGGACAGACCGAGGTAAGTTGTCGGCACTGAAGACCTTTCTCAGAGGCCGGACGAATGAAGCTGTGGATGGTCATAAGGACCATCGAAAGATTGACTTGGCCACCGTGAAGGAAGTTGTTTTAGCGGAGTTCGACACAGCGACCGTCTTACATGAGGTTGTGAGTTGATTCAAGGCGGCCAGGATGATACCCAACGGTATTCCTCACCACGTTTCAGTAGTTGTTGGATCGTGGCTTGCCTGAATAGGACGGAGTGTCACACCAGTAGTTACCATCTAGCCAGCTGGTAGGAGGTATGCAGCGGCGTTTGGTGGTCAGTTGCAGTTGGTGAGAGCAACTGGTCAGTTGAGTGTGCACGATAAGGTGCGTCTGACAAGTGAAATGGCCGAGGGGCCACTGGCCACGTTGCAGTCACAGGTGAAAAGGGCTGATTCACCAGTGGACGAACTGAAGAACAGATTGGACCAACCAGCCGAACAGCTTGCAGCCATCAAGACGGAATCGCGGAGGCACACTCGAACGAGGCCATTTTATAAGTGTGGCATGCCTGGTCACCAAGAGAATCAATGTCGTCGTAACCGACCACGTGTAAATAGAACTTCTAAATTCCCGGGTCGGTTGCGATTAGTGCATTGACACAGGCTACGATGCAGGTCGTTATCTATATAGATGGAAAGAGAGAGCTGTGCTTGTTTGATACAGGAGCAGGAATATCACTGAGACAAAGAGAGAGCCAAGCTGAATGCAGACCGTGCTCGCTAGCCGTGAGACTGGTGGGTGGGTATCGACTAAAAATTGTCGGATTGTCAATGCACTCAATATGCCTAGGCAATAAGTCCGTGCAGCACACGTTCCTAATCAGCTCAGAAATAGAGCTGACAAAATTGGGGGCAGATTTTCTCAGGAGCACAAATTCCGTGGTTGAACTAAAGCAGGGAAAACTGGTGACAAGATATGTCTCAATCAAGCTTGAAGGTTATCCAAGCACTGCCATGAGCGAGCTGCATGTTCGAAAGCTTCCATCTTGTGACTTGCCATCAGTACAGTCCATGGTCGAGGAATATTCCGAACTGTTCATGGGCGATGAATATCCGTTTGGCTTCTGAACACAAAATTCCCCTCTCATCAGAATGCTTTCGAGCTTACGGCCCCCGTCCGCTGTTGCTCTACCTACGGGAAGAGATCGATAAACAAATTAAGATGTTGAGAAACGGCATAATCAAAGACGCCAATAGTGCATACAACTTCCCGGTTGTGCTTATAAGAAAGGCAAACGGAAAATACCGCTTTCGCGTGGATTTCCGGCGGTTGAATGAACTGGCCGTTAATCGGGTTGAAGCTGTCCGTTCGGTTGCGGAGATTTTCGATTCCCTTCAGCATTCCCGATATTTCAGTGTTCGACTTGCGTTCCGGATACTGGCAAGGCGGAGGACCGAGAGGAAACGTCGTTCAAGGTTGGGGACACCCAGTTTCAACTTATAGGGATGCCATTCGGTTTATGGGATTAACCATTCACATTCCGACGCTTGATGGTTTGTTTAACGAAAGGACTACAGAATGTTGCCGTATACGGAGACAACATCGTTATACACAGCAATGCGGAACCAGATCACGCAGCTCTCTTGAAGACCGTCTTGAAGCGTATCCGGGAGGCTGGGCTGCGGATAAATGAAGCCAAGATAGTTCGCACACGGAGATCGAAGAATGTGCTGTTCTTTATTAAAAACGGTCCCTACGGCAGTTTCTTGGAGGAGCGGCATACTACGACCGGTTTTCCAAGGATTTCAACACGATTGCTGCTCGCGCGAATAGTTGCTTGGGCAAAATTGGAAATTCGAATGGACAAGGGAAGCACACGAGGCTTTCGAACGTGTCAAAGCGCGGATGTTGGACCAGCAACTAGCCCTCAGACTTTCTAGGGTCAGATTTTTAACATCAAAACGGCCGTTAGTATCAGCGCACTTCTAAAGCAGAGGAATGGAGTCACCAGATATGCCAGTCGTGTCCTGATTAACGCTGAGTAGGAGTACTCAACCATACACACAGGGCGCATCAATATGTACGACCTACTTCGAAAGAGGCTTCACTGGCCAGGGATGAGAAATGAGGTAATCGATTATGTGGTGTCCTGTAAGCGATGTCAACGGATGAAAGGGGATATTTCAGGGCAACTCGCCCCATGGAACTTATCCCTGTATCGGAGATCGGTAAGTGAGGTTCTGTCGACGTCATGAATCCCTTTCTGGTAACAGCCAATGGAAATCAATATATCGTAGTAATGACAGAACAACTGTCGGGGTGGGTCGAGGTAACAGCCGTAACAAATCAACCGGCGATGACGATCAGTGGAGCTCTGGTTTCACAGCGAAGAGTTTAGGAGTTACCTGTAGCAGCTGGGCATCAAGAAGCTAATGACGGCACGCTACCACCCACACATTACGAATCGATCCAGTCTACTACAGTTAGCTACAGCTGAGAAACTTCCTTAATTTTGTCAGTCAAATCACCGTGCCTTGTCTGTCCAATGTTACTGTCTCCATTTATTTCTGCCTTATTTCTATTCAGCTGAGCTTCATGAGGGGTCTTGCAAATTGAGACAAGTCCACCTACTCCGAAGTTTGGGGAAATTTCCCATCAGTCCGTTTTTTTCTTGTTTGCCTTGACTCATTTGTCCGAGGCATAGTTTCTAGCTGTGGGAGCCAAACCAGGTGCACGATGAACAGATGTATCGAGGACCTCAAGCACTGTTGTACGCCCATAAAGCAGGACAAAATTCAACAGCGTCTGGCGGGTTAAGCACACCTATGCTGTTTGTCCCAGTGAGCATTGCACGACCCCTTGGATTGGTCAACACACAAAAACTTCTGGACTGTGACCGAGTCATATCTGTTGAGCGCAGATGTTGCCAAACGAATATGTTTAAGAGAATCAACTGCGTCTACGCCGGTGAATTTCAGTAGGGGTGTGCTGCACAGTTGATGTCTTGCCCATGTTGAAAATTCACGCACGTACGAACTGGACTTAAAAAATGGCCTAAGCAGAAGTTTTAAAATCAACCCAGAGATCACCAAACCTAGCGCTGTTATGCTGGGTTTTGTACCCAAACCTTTCAACCAATCGTACGTCTTTCAAACAATTTCAAGGCGGGATTTTGGTTGAAATTGTAGTTCTTGTGATGGTTGACGGTTGTTATTAATCCTCTTTACGACCTGGTTCTTGTGAGTGAAGATATCAGGCTGAGAGGGGAACATCATCAGAATATCAGCGTGCATTGGATCTTTTTTGACGTCATATAGTCCTGGCTGGTGGACGTTGTCTCGAATGACAGATGTGTGTCATGATGTTATTTAATCGAAAAAAACTGATGACTCATAGTTTCGCATGTTTTTTCCTTATCGCCAACCGGTCGAAACAAAGAAAATCAGACTTGACTTTAACCCAGTAGCCAGAACACACATCAAACAATCAGAAACGGGGCGTACTAATGCACTATTAACTGCGCAGAAAGATTTAATTTTGCTGCAGATCTGTCCATCCAAAGGGGGTACAGAACCACCGAGGTTTTTGTGGAATCTCGTTGGAATTCCAGAGGGACAGTTGTAACTTCATGAGCTTCGCCTGAAACCGTTTTCGAAAAATTCGAACTGTGACAAATGGATGCTAACCACAAGTTGGAATTTGATACAGAGATGTTTGACGCTGTCCGTGACTACCTTTATGTTGGGGATTGTCCGATAAGGGCGTCTGGCCTAGCCGTCGTTAAGACATGTCGCTTGGTGCTTGTCATCTGCAAAAGTAGATTAGTACCACCAACGACACGGAAATTTCTGCGATACTATCGCGTAGACCATAGAGGCTAACTCTGCATTATCTTACTATAGCATCTTTGATGTGGTTTTCAAATCTGTCCAACAATGAGCGTAGACACAGCTAATGACCTGATGAACCTGTTGTTCGAACCCAGGCAGGTGTCTCACAAACATGGAAGGACGGTAGTTTCGGGTTAGGAAGTTTGACCTCGCCATGCTTTGTCAGATCTGCCTATCTCCGGATGCCAGTGAAGCGCACTAGGCAACAGTTACCTAGTAATGGGCCGGGATGCATACTGACGATGGTGAGCGGTTTTAGTGGCATGAGTTGCTGTCATACATGGAGCTGCGTTTAGAACGCGAAGCCGACATTGCGAAGCGGACGGATTGTGTTGGAAGCGCCAGAATGCTTTGAAGTTGTTTATTAACTGACTATGTTACTGGCTATACGGCCATTCATCATTGCGCCCCTAACGCTAGCTTACTCTTCGTTGCAAAACGACCATATATATATATATATATATATATATATATAT